TATTTTTCTAAGACCCATAGCTCTGTATATAACACCCATGGAAAAGATGTGGGGATCATTGGAATCAAATGGAAGTCTACTGGTTTTAAGAGTATTCAAGACTAATCCCCCTGATTTCCAATGCTGTTGCTTATGTAGGTAGGCCTTCTTATTGTGTCTTTGGACTCTGATCCATTTCCTGTTATTATTTCCTGAACTGGGTCAAGTGTACTTTTGTTCTTTCTCCTCTACATGTAGCTGGCAAGCTGGACACATAGGTGGGAATAGCTTATTTATCTCGAGTATTACAATTCCTGTTGGAGCTCAGCATGGTTGAGCAGAGTCTGCTTGGTCCTTTTGTCCATTCCAGTCTTTCTGCACTAGTTTTTCTTCTTTTTGGATCCCCCCCAGACAAGGACTTGGTTCGATCTATTGTGTCAGTCCTTCTCACACCACATATGGGTTCTGTCCCCTGGGCATGGCCTAGTTTCCAGGAAGGATTGCTGCTAAGGGAGCTTGGGCTGACACAGGATTGAGCAATGTGTTTGCTCCATTTGGGCATAACTTGGCTTGGGTCACCCAGAGGCTCAGCTGATGGCAGGAGTCATGTTGATCAGCTCCCATCTGTCTGTTTGAGGCAGAGGACTTCCTGGGAGAGTTTGAGAAGGTCTACACAGGATACTGAGTCTCCTGATGACATATCTCAACTGTAGACCCTACACTGAGGGTTTAGTAGAATAAATGTCTGAGCTATCAAATAAACAAGCTCTTCCCAAGCCCCTAAGGAGAGGGTGGCTGGGCTTGCTCCTATAGTTTTCCTGGCCACTCCACCCCTCATCATTCCTTCCTCTTGGGAAAAAATATTTGTCCATATGCCTCATTTGGCATTTGTCTCAAAATGCCTCATAGATCCTTTAATGAACTAAGTATCTTTTAAATAGTTAAGGGAAAATGAACGTTAGTTATTATTTCCATCAAACTCCATGGCAAGTACCTTAAAATCTTTATATTTTTTCTTTCATATTCTAAATGCATCTACTACTGACACATTATTTGGATCAGGGTTTGAAGAGGTCCACAGGCTTCACTAGACTGCCACAGCTCTCCACAGTGCACAAAAAAGTGAGACCCTTGGTTACACTGTGCTTTCTGATGCCCTGACTTTTAGTTAGTGTCCAATGAGGCTGGGAGCTGATCAGAGCAGGTTGGGAGAAAGTAGGCTTTAGTTTCAGAAAAGGCTGATGGTACAAGATTAGATGCTGCCCACTAGTGGCCTGAAGGCAGAACTGTGAGATGGCGTATAGGAGAGGCCGTTGGTCGTGGGGTTTGGGATGATGGTAGATGTTTCCTGGTACTGGCTCTGACAAAAGAGAATAAAAGTGGTTTGACCTTTGCTCATGGTATCAGCCTCATTACTTGAAACTCTCTTCCTTGTTCTCAGTACTCTATTTTCGCTGTCTTATGTCTCAGAAGTTTCCTTCTGCATTTGGGTGTTTAAACATACTGTTACCTCTGCCTGATATGCCTGGAATCTTTGTGTAGATTACTATGACCCCCTTCCCTATCTCAGAGTACCTAGGTCAGGCTTCTGGATAATCCTCAAGTCCTCAGTGTGATTTTTTTCCTCTTGTACAATGACCATCCCTGCACTAGATTACAAACCCTCCAAGGGTTTGTAAAAAGCAGAGACTTGCCTTTGCCCTCTTCAATATTCCCAGTGTACTTTCCCAGTATCACTAAATAAACATAATGGATAAAGAGTGAATTTTAGTTGGAAAATTCATGAAGGGACTGAATGCTAGCAGAGTGGATTTAGGTCCACTCCAAAAAAGTAAGGTGGTATCTCGCCATTTGTGACAGCCAGGCTACCCCCAAGTCTCTGCCTACATGCAGTAAACCAGTAATATAGGAAGATCTTCAGGACAGAAACAGTGACACAACATTGACAGCCTGTGGAGACATACGGCCTGAGGTAGATTCTTGACCTTGCTATGCCCTTCCTGGGTGACCTCTTTGTTCTCAGTTTCCTCATCTGTAAAATAGTGAAAATAATAGTACCTACGGCACAGGCTGGTGCAGAATAGTAAGCCAGGTGACATAAGTAATGCCCCTAGCTCATAAGTACTGATTACATGGTAGCTTAATAAAAGAGTCAGCTGAGCCTGAGGGATGGTCTATTCTTTCTACTCTCTGGCAAAGCACTGTGTTTAGAAATGAGGCTGAGCCTAACTCCAACTCCTTTCCCTTCTCTATCTTGGTTGGAATGTTCATGGGAGCTGCTAAGAGACAATACTGAGCGGCAGAAGATTCCTCCTTGAAGTGTGGATAGCTCTTTCCCTACGTGTCACATCGTCTACAGCATCTTTCTGTCCTGAAGATCTGAGGCAGGTGGGCGTAACCTGCTGTCCTTGAAGAGAGGACTGTGGTTAGAGCTATGATTTCTTTCCCATCATTTCACACACATTCTTGCCTAAATTTTGTTCCAGAGAGTTACAGTTCAATTAGTTTACTTTGACTTAAAATGGAGTTGTGACATTTGCAATATGCTTGTCTCAGAATTTGACATATATTAGTGCTCCAAAAATATCAGTTGTTATTTCCCTATCAGAAAAATAGTGGATTGTCTCGAAATCACACACCTCCTTTGGCTTCCTAATTTATATGACATTTCCTAACTTCTGGCATTTTAAGGCTTTTAAGAGGATGAATGGAGGAGCAGGTGAGTGGCTAAATGCTTATTTTCTTCTTTCAGGACCAATAGGCTTTAAGCTTGGCTGTCCTCAGTTCTGCACAGTTGCCACAAGAGGGCAGGAGCAGTTAAGACAACAAAACCCAAATTCAGAATTACTGGGTTGACAGCAGAGGACGGTGGAAGGAGAAAAATGTTGAAAGAATTGGGAAAAAAACAGGTTTTTTTTCCTTGGGGACCAAATGAAAGGGAATGTGTAGATGGTAGGATTGAATATAGACTTAAAGAAGAACTTCTGGACCACAAAATTTGCTACCTCATGTAGCATGGTAGTACCTACCATTTATACAGGCTCCTTTTTAAGCCTGTTAGCTATGTCTGCCCAAACATAGTAGATGAGAAAGAGGACTCATTCAGTCTAAGGCCTATGTGACCGCACTTGGTCCCCCTAAGGTAACCCTCTTATAGTCTGCTTTACATGACTCCATTCTTGCAGATGCAATCGTAAAATAACTTTATTGGTCAGGTTAGCCACCACTCATGCTCTTCCTGTAATAAGGTTTCTTTATAGAGGCATGATGGTGTTCACATGCAGATGCTTTCTGAAGAGCCCTGGGACAGGGTGCAGCCTTTCCCCTCTCATCAGAGCTCTTTTGTTGAAATGAGCTGGTTTGGCTTTTGTGGATTTCTGGGTCTGGAGCCAAGAACATAGTCCAAGGATCCCCCCCTCCCTTCTCAGGGAAGCTGCTTCAAAGCATACACAGTTTCAGGGATGTAACGGCATCTCAGCAGGGACCAGACTTGAGCTACCTCTCCTCAACTAGTGCTTGCCCCTGCCTGCCCAGATGACTCCATCCCAACAGTGCCTAAAAGATCAAGTGGGTTAAGCCCCCAGGCAACATTACCTTTTAGAAATAGGAAGAATGAATTGCTCTCCAGCCAAGCTATAAAGCAACAGCATCTTCATTAATGAAGGTGTAGCTCAGAGATGTAAAAGCAGAGAATTTTTGTGCCCAGCCCAGGCAAGGTTTGGCTTCATGGACCCCAGTGAGCATTTCCAGCCAGAGCTGGTAATTTTAACTCTGGCCTTAGGACAAATCAGATAATATAGTTTAACCACGTTCTTCTATCTTCCTCTTTTGGGCCAGTAGGCAAGTCTGGGGATGGTTGGAGTCTGTTTGTATCATTAGGATATAGAACCTTCCTGCTTGGACAAAAAAGAGAGGACAAATTATTTTTTTTTTCATACTTTGAAAACCACACAGCCTCCACCTTTGAGGATAAAGATTTGAGAAGAGTCCTGATGGGAATGTAGAAAGTTCTGAGAATGGAACTACTGGGGCTGCTTCCTCAACTCAGCCATTCTGAGGTGTGTCATTCTGAGGTGTGTTTGCCCCATTACGGTCAGCATCAAGTCTGACCTCCCCTCTTTTAAAGTTTGATCTCCCTCCAAAGAGCTGCTCAGATGCTAAAATATAGTCCCATACATTTACACAAGCCTAAGGTTGGTTATCCCCTCCTAGACAGGGCCATGAATATTATCATAATGCTGGTAACCTTTAATCTGGTGGCTTTCAAGAGGTGTGGTTAGAGAGGCATAGAGGTGACTTCTTGGTATCCTTTCAACCTCAGACAAAAGTGTGGGTTCTCTCCACAGGTTGCTGGACAGATGCTCTCATGCCTTTGGGGTCTACTGATTCTACCTGAGGCACAGAAGAGGCATCTATGGAGGAAGGTGGAGGGGACGAGGTGGACTTGGGAGGAGGCAGCTGGGCAAGAGGTATATTTTGAGGAGCAAAGAATGGGAGCCCAGAGTAACTGCATGGCCAGCCCAGTACACAGAGTGAGCTGCCAGGCGCTGCTCACACGGAGTCAGGGAATGTTGGAAAGGAACAGTTGTGTTATTACTGCCGAAGCTACTTTTAAAGTCCTGTGACGTCAGGTGATAAGGAAAAAGAGTAGTGAAGTTCTGGGGTTGGAACTTCCAGTTATTACTCCCTCTGCCACCAGTGCTGAACGTGGAAAAGAGGGAGCTTCTGCCTACGTGCTCAGCAGAAGGGTACCTGTCCCTGACCCCACCCAACCCCGCCTACAAGGAAGAAGGCTAAAGAGGGAGCCTGTGGACTTCTGTCACACAGTTTGTCCCGGACAATCCAGCAAAAGCCAAACCAAACCATCTAGCCAAATGCAGTGGGGGCAGTGGGGACTCTCCACCCGGTGCCCGGTGCAAGGCTGCTCAGATCTCGATGAGGCTGGCGAGGCGCAGGCAGAGGGGCGCGTCCACAGGCATTGCGCTGCGCTTGATCTCGTTCCCGTCCAGGCGCAATACCTGCAGCTTGGAGAAGTTCACGACGTCCACCACGGTGCAGAAGCTGCTGATGGAGAACTCTGTGGAAACAAGAGGAGCAGGAGTGGCGGGGGAGAAACTCAAATCAGGAACTTGCATCCACGGTGAGAGACCGTCTCTGTGAAGCCACTCAAATAAGGATTTTTTTTTTTTTTTAATCATCGGGAGGTCCAGGAGAGGACCTAACTCACGACCCCTGGTTTATGAGGCCAGCGTTCTAACCACTGAACTATGGTGCCCAGCCTTTAAATAAGGTCTTTTGATGTAAGGGGTCAAACTTGGGGGCTGGGTGTTGGGAGTAGACGTTTTCTGGGATTGGAGTCATGCCCTCTGTCACCGCTAGGGGCAGACCTAGGGACAGAGTCGGGGTTTGGCGGCACCCGCCGCTTGGCTTCTTAAGCATCCCATTCTCCAGGCCCTCATGCACTTCACTTTGCAGACCCTTGAACATTCTTCCCTCCAGAACCTCCCCTCTTTTCCCCCTGTGGGCAGCGGGGGAAGCAGAGTGTAGCCGAAGACCAATGGTGGACACTTTGAAGTACTTGATTGCTTTCAGAGGTAGAAGGCTTTGCTAAATTGCTATGAGAAGGAAAAATGGAGAGACTTAAATCTTAAATATCTCCTGCCACTTTGCAGATAGAGAAAGTGGCAGGAAATTAAAGAGAGAAAGACTGGGCGGAGAGTCAAGTGTCTTTGCTTGCCAGAGCTTTGAGAAGATTACACATTTACATTCTGAGTACTGCCAGAGGAGTGAGCAAGGTTCTGAGTTTAAAGCTAGAAACTCATAGAGCACTGGGGCTGCCATGGACCTCAAAAGTCAAAATAATTCTCATGCCTCTTGCATTTAACATTTTACATTCTGCCGATTTTTTAAAAATCTCCTAGTCCCCTTTTTGTGAGATTTCCCCCCTAAGCCGCATACCCCTAATAGATACAATAGTTGTCTTTGGTTTTAACATAAATTCTTCTGCTGCTATTCACTCTTCTGTCCCTCTGGTTGTCCTATCTGACAAGCCAACCACTTCTATGTCCAGTCTACTGGGTCAGTAATTTAAAAGATAAAAAAGCCAAGAACCAGCTAAAACTCCAGCAGCGATGGTAAAAGGGCCCACTAAAAGCGGCGGAAGCCTCTAAGGCAGTGGTTCTCAACCTGTGGGTCACAACCCCTTTTTTAACAATGAAAATACACTGCAGCATTAGGAAGGTTGAGAACCACTGCTCTAAGAGCTGCCTTCAACGTGGTGAGTGAGGCTTTCTGGAAAATTGCTTTTGTCATTCTCTGCCAAGGAGAGTTGGATAAAATTAACCATGGGGTCCTGAAAATAAGGTGGTGTGTGGGTACAGCCCTAGTAGCAGTAATGGTTGAGTAGACCTTGAGCTGAGGCTTGCTTTGGTCCCACCAGAGCTGTTCCTCAGCTTGCAGTGGTGGTCTGGAACTGTGCATCAGTTTGGGGCCAGGCAGGAAGATCAGGAGAAAGGTTTTTCTAGCTCTCTTCCCAGGAGGGGACAATGGGCGTAGCTTTGGGGGAGGTTATGGGTATGAAAATAAAAGTTCAAGGAAGACATTATGGAGAGTTTAAGTGGGTTGATAAAGTGTTTTTTTAATTAACATTATCAATTATTTTCAGTCTCTGTTCAGAATTGACTGAAATGAGATAGGGTAAGTTTGTAGCAAATTAACTTATACTGTGAACATAAGGCAGAAAATCTAAGGTCTAACTGGGGAGATTGGGGGAGAATGGTAAATGCCGTTCTTTGGAAAACACAGGGGGTCAAATATCCAAAATGCTTTTTTTGATGTTTCCTTTCTGGTCCCAGGAAAGAGATGAAGTGCCTCTGAGTGGGCAGGTTGAGGTCAGAGCCAAGGCCAGGGGCTGGGTCTGTTATTTGTATGCAAGGAGTGGGGTGGCATGTGGAGAAGAAGTCATGAGGCTCAGCTTAAATATCACTTCCAACACTGTCTGGGACTGAGCTAGAGGGTCCATTATGGATTCTCTGTCCCAGTCTGGAGCCCTCAGACTGTGCTAAAATCCTGGATGACAGCTGTGGCTACATAAAAATGGGACATACTTGTGCAGAGCTGGTTGCACAGGATATAGAGATTCTAGCTACACACTGGGCGCTTAGAGCCCCCCTGCTTGTCTTCCCCAAGCCCAGGAATAGCACAGGGCTTCTGCTTGGAGACACAGGAGGACATTTTCCAGCCCAGATTAAATACTGACATAAGTCTTTCCAAATTCCTCCTGGTGGACCCGCCCTGCTCCACTGGATCCCAAAACTTCTGAATAACATTCTGAGTTGTGTTTCCTTGCTCTTGCCAGGCTGGAAAATCTGAGAGGGATGCTGGTGGAAGAGGGAAGAGGGAGGGAGAGGACCACGTCTGATTCCCCTGCATGCCCCTGAGTTCCTGTTCTTCTTTTAGGTCCTCCCTCGGAGGGCTGCTTCAATCCACCACCCCCTCCCCAGGTAGGTCCCTGACCCGCTATGCCTGGGAGATGTCTCTTGCTTTTGCCCTAGGGTTTGCTCTAGGCGAGGTGGCTACGCTTGGGGAACTGTTTTCACGCTAGTGTTCTGAATCAGAGAGCCATTCCTCACCATTCTCAGAGATGCCTGGCTCTAGGCATTTTCATTTTGAAGGCAGAAATACAGGTTCTATACAACACAATCTGGGTGATCTTGAGAGATGGCTTTTCCTTCTCTGTGTCTCAGTTTCCTTATCTTTGCAATGCAAAAACAACAAGAAAAACTGTAGCCGTCAAGGTCAAAGTGGTAATAAGAAGGAAAGCTAATTATTATCATGTATTCCTCTTTAAATTCTATGCCAGGCCCTGGACCAAGTGCTTTACATACATATTAACTCACACATTTAAGGGAAACAAGACTTAGGTGTTAAAGAGAAGACTAGGAGAGAGACTAAATGATATCTAGAAAAGAGGATTGATTAGACTCAACTTGCACAAGAAGGGATTTGGAGTAGAAACTGGAAGTTTTTTTTTTTTTGTAGAGACGGAGTCTCACTTTATCCCCCTTGGTAGAGTGCTGTGGTGTCACAGCTCACAGCAACCTCCAACTCCTGGGCTTAGGTGGTTCTCTTGCCTCAGCCTCCCAAGTAGCTGAGACTACAGGCGCCCACCACAACGCTTGGCTATTTTTTTGTTGCAGTTCTGCTGGGGCCAGGTTTGAACCCACCACCCTCAGTACATGGGGCTGGCGCTCTACTCACTGAGCCACAGGTGCCGTCCGAAACTGAAACTTTTTAGGTTGTTTGAATGGGAGACATTTTTGTAGGCTCTCGGGACATTTCACTAAAATAGTTTTATTTCTGGCAAGATTCTGGGAGTGGTGGACCACCTTGTATTTGAGTGCAGATGTGATTCTGCAGAAGGCAGAGAGGTGACAGGACGCTGTGATGAAGCCTCTGCCACCCTTGACTGCTCTGATTGTGTAGTTAGGTGCTAAATAACTAATGGATTCCTTCCCATGACAGCTGCTCTTTGCTGCCACATTTTTAGGGTCAAACTCTGATGAAGCACAGCATACAGTCTGACATTTCTGATGTGATATCCTCTTGGATAAAGAGTGGGTGGCAGGTAAGTATTGGTGACTGCCGACAGAGTGATAGACAGTCACGAGGAAATGTCAGACCCTTTGCAGCATGCAACATCTTCAAGATGTCTTAGAGGAGCACCCCCCTCTATTACCCAGGAATAAAAATACCTGAATGAAAAGGAGACTTTAAGCGAAACAATTTGGACCGTACGCAATGATGTCTTGCTCTTCAAACTAAGGGACCAGACAGGTATCTCTTCTCTTTGCCTACCCGACTGCCAGCCCCCCCACCCCACCCCCCCATATTGCCCTCTGGGGCTCTCTCGCTCAGAGGGCCGTCCAGCTTGTTAACATCTTGCTAAATGACTGATGTGTTCCCTGACCACAGGGAGACAAGAGAATGAGAGGGAGAAGATGAGGACTCAGTCCCTCTCAGCGCTTTGATAGTGCTGTTCATTCTCAGCAGGCTCCACTTCAAAGCTCTTTGCCAGTGGTCATTAATGAGTCCTCCTTTCCTCAGAGGGAAGAGGACATTGCTGACAGAGGAAGGGAGGTTAAATGCCGGCTTAATACCTTCCAGCTGGGTTTAAGACATCAGAGGCCCTGGGGTAATGTAAGCATGTTCTGAACACAAGATCCTAAGAGGGAAGGGAGCTGAAAAGCAGTCAGATAATTCAACCTGAAATCAGTATTTTAGTTCCTACAGGCAAGGAGGCAGCACTTTTGGTTTCTTTAGGCATTTTGAGGGAAGTGCTTAAAAACAAGAAGCACAGTGTCCTAAGCATTGTGGTGGTCAGGCTCGTGTTACCCCAGGGAGGAACTCTGCCCTGCCACCAGGGGGTCCTTGTACTCCAGGGAGAATGGACCAGAACACAGAGCTGCATTCAGCTCTGAGAGGCTGCACATTTTTGTCCACCAGCTGTTATGTTTAAATAAACAAATAAATGCCAAAAACACAACACCACACTATAGAGGCAGGAGTAGATAAAATGGAAACATAGAGCTCATCCTCTTTGGGGTTGGTAAGTACAGACACCATGATTTCTTAGCAGCCAACCTTCCCCTTTAAATTTTAAATATAAGTTATACTTAAAAGTATAAGTTTAGGCTTGGTGCCCGTAGCACAGTGGTTACAGCGCCAGCCACATACACCGAGGGTGGCAGGTTTGAACCCAGCCTGGGCCAGCTAAACAACAATGACAACTGCAAAAAAAAAATAGCCAGGCATTGTGGTGGGTGCCTATAGTCCCAGCTACTTTGGAGGCTGAGGTAAGAGAATCACTTAAGCCCAAGAGTTTGAAGTTGCTGTGAGCGGTGACACCACGGCATTCTATTGAGGGTAACATAGTGAGATGCTGTCTCAAAAAAAAAAAAAGTATAAGTTTAAATTTTAAGTAATAAATTTTAAGTTATACTTGAAAGTGTAAGTTTAAATTTTATACTATATTTTATAGTACTACACTATTTTATAGTATAACATTTAAACTTAAATCTCTCCCTCTATGAACTGTTCCTTCTTAAACCTCTCCAAACTCATCTCTGACCGCTCCTCTTTGTTTGTGACGATTCTCTAAGAATGGGTTTCACCTCCATTCCTCAAACCCTGGAATGTCTTAAGACATAGAATGAAACCTGCCTCTCCAGGGAAGCCTTCTTCTGTAACCCACTCCCCGCTGAATTCTCTTACCACTGCTATTCGGTAAATGTCAGTGCTAGTTTGTCCCTTTTGTACAGGGTTATGGTTTGGTTGTCAGCTGCTTCATTTGTTCTACTTGGTTCCTTTACTTCTGTTTCTTTTGTCTTGCCACTAGCACTCAGAATAGGGTCTTTCAAGTAAAATAGACAGCCACTCCCCGCTCCCCATTGACTAGCTTGCTCTCACCATTGATCCTATTGCCTTGAAGATAGAGGTTCTCCAGGTTGGTGTTGACCGGGGGGATCTTCTGTAGCTGATTGTAGGAGAGGTCAAGCTCAAGGAGGCTGCTGGAATTGAAGGTGTTGGTGGCCAGGCCGTTGTTGGTAAGACTGTTGTGGGACAGCCGCACATACAGCAGCTTAGGTGAACCCCGGAAGTAGCTATCAGGGACGCTGTAGACATTGTTGTGCTCCAGGTATAGCTGCTCTAGGGCCGAGGGCAGTCCATCAGGCACCCTCCGAAGGTGATTGTAACTCAGGTCCAGCAAGATCAGTGACCGGAGGCCCCTCATCGCACTTCCCACCTCCTGGATCTCATTGTGATGAAGATACAAGGCTGTGAGGTTCTCCAGCCCCTCCAGAGCATTGTTGGGGACCCGTGAGATCTGGTTGTGGTTGAGATGGAGCTCTTTCAAGGATCGAGGCAGTGGACCGGGCATCCGGGTCAGGTTGTTGTGGTCTAGGTACAGCCTCTCCAGGTGCTTCAGCTTGGAGAAGACCTTTCTGCCCACCTTATCACTAGTGATCTGATTGCCATGGAGAGCGATCCAGAGCAGTCCTGTGGCATTGTCAAAGACGCCTTCCTGGATGGAGGAGATCTGGTTGTTCTGGAAGTAGACATACTTCATGCGGGAGGGAACGAAGGGCAGGTATTTGAGGTTGCGGTTGTCACAGTACATGGCTGTGGGGAAGTTGGGTGGGCAGTCGCACTCCTGGGGGCAGTCGCGGGGCTCTGGTGGGGATGGAGAGCCATAGGCATAGGCTGGACCTTCGTCCACCCCGTAGGGGTAGGGCTCGTAGGGCTCATAAGGGTAAGGGTCATAGGGATCGTAGTAGGTGGACTGCTGGCTGCGGAGGTAGTGGAACCACCAGTGAGGGTCCTCATCATACTGGGCCTGGGAGAGGGAGCAGAGCCCTGCTAGCAGCAGGAGAGAGGTCCACTGCATTTTGTCCCACTGTAAGGAGAGGGAGAGAACAGAGCAAGCCAGCATGAATGAGACTCTGTGGAGGAAGTGACGCTTTGAGCTATGCAGATCTGACTTTAGTGTCAAACGTCAGGGAGCCTTGCTCTCACTTCCTTGGTGCCTCCTCCCAGTCTGGCTCTGCACTTGGTCTGGCTGGACCGTGGCTATTTGGGGTGAGCTAAGTACATTTTCCCCTGATCTTAGAGTGGCTCACAGAAAGAGTTTTTGAGATTAGAAGGAACTGGAATTGGAGGGGAACTGTGTTTTTTGGAGGGGTACGTCCTTAGGAACCTCTAGCACACTGAAATTTCTGTTGAGAAGCTGCAAAGCCCACAACAATCCCTTATGGGTGTGTGTGTGTGCATGTGCGTGGTGGAGTAGGATAGTAGCAGGGGGCTCTTCAGGGCTGAACCCACATTCAGCTTGGGCTTCCCAAAGAAATAATATTTTCTAAGAGTCCAGGGAAAACTCTCTGGCTCTTTCCATGTCTACGAGAAGCCTCCAGACATGGCATGAGACATCAAAGGGGGAATATCTGAATTAGTTCTGGAAGATATTTTGGTCTCTTGGCTGAGGGAGTCTAGGGTTGAGTGTTTGGGGAGGAGCATAGTGCCTCCACGCCTCCACAGCCACCACAAGGCTTGGGATCCCTTCTAAAGGGATCTGCCATAATCTGTAACAATATGCTCCACGAGAAAACATTCTAGTTAGCAGTTTGTGGCTACATATGCAATTTGGCTGGGACATGGTCTTCGTATAACAGTTACAGATTCTCTCCAGATTGGGGACACCAGTACCTAGGTGTGACACTTATCTTCTAGAGTGAGTCCTCAGTATGTGGCATCTGAGTTAGTGTGCTTCTCTCTCTTCTGTGGTGCCTAGTAAATGTTAGCACTCCTTATGCCTCACCCTGGGTGTCATGCAAGAGCCATGTGGGGCTGGAAGAAATAAATGAGGAACACTGAAAGGTGACATAGAGATCAAAGACACTTGTGTGTTCAAGGGCAGTGGCTTAAGAGGGGATTCTGGCATCAGCCCTCATATTCCAAGCTGCCTGCTTCAAGTGACAACATTTAGATTGCCAGGCTCTGGATCTAAGACCCTGGATTGCTGGCAGCCTGTTGCCTTTGAACTTGCTATGCTACAGAGAAAAGAAAGGGGTAAGTGGGACAGAACTGTGGGGTCTGGTATAATCTGACAGGGAAGCTAAAGGTATGGAAGATGAGGGACCAGGGGGTGGTATATCCTCCCATTAACCTATAGCCAATGTTCTGCTTACTCCTGTGAGCAGTGGGCACCTTCCAGAGTGTCACTCTTAGACAGAGAAACCTCAGAACCTTTCTTGGCCTGGTAGATTCATATATATCCCTTGCATTGCTGTTGAGCCATGCTGGGGTTAGCAACTGTAAACAGGAGAAAGAAAGAAGCATAAAAACCAACATCAAATCCAACGAACTGATGGGAAGGACCCTAACTGTGATACTCGGTCAAGTCACCTGTTGGCCACCATCTCTCCTAGGCCTCTCTGTCCCCTCTAAGCAGTTCTCTTAGGCCCATTTTATCACATCAGTTGCTGGGCTGCAAAGGAGCAGGCATCCTGGCTCATCCTCAGGCAGCCTCAGGCCTCAGACAAAGAGCCACAGTGTTTTTGAGGAGTAGATTCAACTGCCCACTGCCTAGGCATGCTGGCTAGTCCCAGGCGCTGGCCAGGAGAGAAGATGGATGGAGCGGCCCACTGCCAACAGCACATTTTTCCATGCACAGCCCTGGGCTGCTGTAGGACCAAGGTGGCTGTCTGGAGGCCTGGCACAGTGAGCCTCTGTCTCCATTTCTCCTTCCAGACTGGGCACCTTGGCAGACAAGAGCCACCTTCCCTTTCAAGCCACCTTCCTGCCCATTTTGGCCTCTCCTTAAAGGCATGGATGCTGAAAGGGTTTGGTGGGGGAGCTTATGCCTCTCCTTATCCTACCCCCATCACTTGCTTCCAGGCTGTGTACTTCTAAATTGTTTCCCGGAATGCTGGAGATGCTCCTGTGCTCTGAGTTTTGTGAGGTGGACAGTTTAGGACTGGCAGTCTATGAGTTGGGGGGAGCTTACTCAGGAGCTTCTGCTGTGCTTTCATTTCTCCACCCTAGAGAAAGATTTCTCCCTCCTACCTGAGTGAAGGAGGTCAAACCAGAAACCATCACCTAAGCTGGAATGGACACCCACCTCAATCCACAGTTCCCCAGACATAGCCAATTTCAACACTTTATTTTCTCCCTCTCTCCCCAAGAACATGCACACATGCATGCACACACACACACACACACACACACACAACTTTGCCCCTCCCCCATAATAAAATTTAGGTATCACAATCCCTCTATCAGGAAGATTGCAGAGATACCCAGGACTTGGGGTACCCAGAGTGGTGAGATTTGTGAGTATTAGAGGAGGGCTTCCCGAGATAGCTGGTCCTTCCCTTTTTCATGCCTGAGAACTGGATATTCCCTCAAACTGTAAAGGAACTGTAGGAGAAAGGTGAAATGCTGGGACTCCTCCTTTCTACACCCCAGCATCCCTGGAGTCAGGGCCCTGATGGGGATAAGGGGGAAGGACTTCTTTCCTGTCTCTCTTCCCATCCCCTAGCCCCTTTCCTTTATTTCTTTTATGAAACTGCAAGGGACGAAACCCAAAGTAAAATGACCAAACTTACCTCGAGTTGAACCTTTCAGAGAGTGACCACGTCCCTCTGTCTGGCCTCCTTGGGTTGGAGAAGGTGTGAGAAAGAGAGCAAGGGAGAGAGAGGAGTGAGAGATTCTACTGAGAGTGTGCGAGTCTCTGCCAGGCCAGGGTCCCGCCCCGAATTCCTAATCAAATATTGTGAAGAGAGGGGCTGAGGAGCTGGGATCCTGGCTTTTTCAGCTCCTCCGCTGCAGGGGCGGAGCTCACACTAAACCATGCAAATCCTTCTGTCCAACTGACGCTATAAAAACCACCTTCTTTCCACTCACTTGTCTTTCCTGAAGCATTGGCAGCCCTGGGTCTCTTTCTGCTCAATAAGTTAGTGGTGCCCTAGAAGTTATTTCTACAGTTTCTTGTGAAGTGCCTGGATTTCTCATTAAACCCACAAAAGCAGATTCAGGGTTGGGGAGGGCCGGGATTTGCTAAGAAGTTTCTTAACTCTTTCTTCAACCTAAGTGTCTCCCCAGGGAGCTAGTCTTGGCCCTTCTGGCTCAAGCTCCCCCTATAGGCAGGTCATTAAGCAGTGGATAAGCGAGCATGTGTGACAGCTGGTTCTGGTTCTAGCCCTAAACAGCACAGGGTTTTCTGGGCTACAAGCACTTCCCTCCCCAATTGAAACAAATTAAAAGGCAGGGAATCTAATATTTGCTTATCACTGTACTAGCACCATGTACCCTTACAACAATTTCAGGACTACTAATACTTACCTTGTTGGGTTGTAGCCGGGACCATGTGAGGTAATGTGTGAGCCCCCTGACCTGGCACAGGTGGAGACTATGACCCATTTCATAGCTGTAGAGCTGCTGAGCCAGGGGAGGACAAGGTCACATAAGTGGGCAGAAGTGGGACCACAATGGAACTTTTAGGCCATGGAAAGGAGTTGGATTTTATTCTAAGTGTTTAGCAAACAACATGTTTTAAGCAGAGGATGCCATGGTTTTCACTTTATAAAGCACATAGAAGGGACTGTTGTGTGGAGAAAGGGAGGCTCTAGCAGCCCAGCCTTGAGGAGAGATAATGGCAGACTGGACTGGTACAGTGTGAGAGGGGATTGTGTATTGGCGATACAGAACTGGCAAGTCTTGCAGGTAGATCAGATATGGGGAGTTAGGAAAAGTCAAGGATGGCTCCTAGAAATTTAGTTTGAGCAACTGGGTAGATGATGATACCCTTTCCTGATGTGGCAAAAATGGGGTGGAACAGAATTTGTTGGAAAACCAAAGTCATGTTTTGGGTGTGCTAAGTTAAATATGCCTGTTAGACATTCCTGTGGGGATGCATACAGGCAGCTGAATATATGAATCTGAATTTGGAATTTAGGGGCTAGAAGAAAGCGTTTGAGAAATATTATAATTTGGACTACATAGAATCTTAGTAGCTTAGATGAACTCATGTATCCTAAATGTTTTTTCCTTATGTATGTTAACTGGCTGATGTCACCATCAAAGACACACCTTTATTTTTAAAAATACCAGCTCAGAAACTCTCAGATTATTTGAACTTGAAGAATTTAGAAATGTCAAGGCAGATAACCCTTTTTTTCTCCAAACAATTTGAGCTGTTGACTTAATGTGTAGGCTGTCAGAAAGGTCCTTGCCAGCGAACCACTTTTCTTAGGATTTAAGAAGAGATTTCAAAAAGATGAAACATAATGAATGAGTTTTTACTGACCACCTACTATAGATTAGTTGGTTTAGTTGTGTTATCTCATTTAATGACCACAGTAGGCATTTTGCCTTGAAAATAGAGGCTCAGTGGTATAAAGTAACTAGCTGGTAAGTAGTAAACCAAGGATCTGGACTTTGGTCTACATGACATCAAAGCCCACACACTTTCTTTCTTTGTTTCTTTTTCTTTTTTCTTTTCTCTTTCTTTCTTTCTTTCTTTTTTTTTTTTTGAGACAGAGTTTCACTTTGTGGCCTGGGTAGAGTGCCACAGTATCATACCTCACAGAAACCTCAAACTCTTGGGCTCAAGTGATTCACTTGCTTCAGCCTCCCAAGTAGCTAGAACTACAGGCGCCTGCCACAATGCCCAGCTATTTTTTTAGACATGGGGTCTTGCTCTTGCTCAGGCTGGCCTTGAACTCATGAGCTCAAGCAATCTACCTGCCTCAACTTCCCAGAGTGCTAGGATTACAGGCATGAGCCACTGCACTTGGACCCACACACTTTCTTATAACTCTAGACCAGAAGATTAGCAGAGGGGGTGATGACTATCTTGCTATCAGGGCTGGACTCAATTAAGATGAAACTTAATTATGGTGGTCCAATCTGCTTCAATCTGGGAGCAAGGGAATATAGAGATGGGAGGAGTCTGGGATACAGGGTTTCTCTTCCTGATTCACACATAGTTCAATTCAACTTGATAAATATGAGCATCTAGCCGGGTGTGGTGGCTCCTGCCTGCAATCCTAGCACGCTGGGAAACCAAGACATGTGGATTGCCTGAGCTTAGGAGCTCAAGACCAGCTTAAGCAAGAGTGAGACCCAATCTCTACTGAAAAAAAAATAGAAAACTTAGCCGGGCATGGTGGTACATGCCTGTAGTCCAAGCTACTTGAGAAGCTGAGGCAAGAGGACTGCTTGAGCCCAGGAGTTTGAGGTTATTGTGAGCTATGACACCACGGCACTCTACCCATGGGACAAAGTGAAACTAAGAATAAATAAATGAATGAGAGCGCCTCCTATGAGTCAGGCATTGTCCTAAGTGTTGGAGACACAAAGAAGGCTTCAATATAATAACCTGCTCATAATAAAGTAGATGTATATGTAGTGGACTCTTATCTTGTGAGTGAAGCAGAATGTCCTCACTGTGAACAGAGTAATGAATAATTCACAGATTACTTTCTAATTATTTCTGAGTCCAGAAATCAGTCACATTTCAATGGAAGACAATGGTCTTGACAACTGGGCCTGGGGGGACACTTCTTAGATGGGCCTAGATAGCTTAGGCAAATTCACCCTATTGGATATAGATGTTTATTATTATGTTTTTAAATTCCAGAATGCTGACCAATACTGCATTCATTAACAATGAACATCAGTAAAGTCTGGGTACCAAATTTTGACTGGGATTCTTTCCAAGCAAGCTCCACCAAAAATGGCAGCATCTGCATGTGGTGTTTTGGCCATTTTCTAAAGCAATGTGATTCATACCAGTCTCTAGTCATCTGTTCTATTTCATGGTAGGCCTGGGAAGAAGGAAGGATGGAGGGAATGACTGGGACTGGTTCAGGAGGCAGAGTTTGAAGGGAACCATCCACTGTTGAAAGTTCATTTTTCTAGCTCTAGAGGAGGTTTTGCCCTCCATTTTGACACTGCTGGTCTATTGGCCGGGTTCCTGGATCTAGGCCCTCAGAGCTTGCTTTAGTATGGCAAGCCAAGCATAAGACATTGATTTTCAGCAGATTGCTGAGGGGGTCCACATCTGGACCTTCTGGGAGTTGCCAAACCAGCACTACTGATTGCAAATAAACTAAAGAAAAAAGCTATGTATCCTAGGTGTACAATGCCTGGCACTTAGGAGGCAATCTATAAAAGGTTATGAAATGAATTGTAGTTTTGGCTCCTCTCAGAGTCTGTCTGTCTTTAGAACTCACTGCTGGGTGGAATAACTACCACCAACCAGGCCAGGAAAACCCTTAGGACTTCACGCTAATTAGACTTTCCAGGGGTTCAGGCCACTGCTATTTCCTCCTTACCCAGAAAAATACAGGTTAAGCCACAATCACTAGGCAAAGCTGTTCGTCTCTGACATTGGACTCACCCTGTCTGGAAGAAATGAAGTATCTTCTGACTCAAATTTCCCTCAGCAAAAGGCACAGAAACGTTCCTGTGGCTACTAACCCCTTCCTCTTCATGTCTGTAGGCCCCTGCAATCCCCTTTTTTTGTGACACTGCCTCTGATCTCATATAACCCAGGGATGGAGAGGCAGAGTTAAGACTGAAAACTCACCCAAACAGAATTCTTGAGTGGGATATAAAGAGGTCAGTAGAAAGATGATCATGGTGATACAATCCAGGCCCTACTGCTGGCCCATCCTGACAACTCATGACGCCAGAGAAGGAGTTTTGACTAGTCTGATGTTTCGATGGAAAGTATTGGCTACACTGGCACCCAAGAATAGTATCCCAAAGTTTCCAAGAGAGATGTTTTTCCCTATTCCTTTGGCACTGAAGGGTCATTAGAAGTCCTTACCATGGAGAGTCTTCCTTTTCCAGAAGGATGAGAGCCATGAAGATGTTGGAACTAGAGAAGGACTTGTTTTCTTTCAACTGCAGTAGAGAGAGATCTCAAGTTCCAAGTTCTAGGACTTGCATTGAGGGTTTCAGAATTTCTTTTCAGTAAGCTGTTTAATACATAATTCAACTTTTATCTATCAATGGATAGCATCTCTTATTTTTACTGTGTGTTATTGATATTGTTAACAGAAAGATGACATGATGGCTTTCAGAAGATCATCTTCTAGAAGGTGTCAGTGCGTTTGAATCAGGACAGGGAATTTGTTCAGAAGAGATTCCTAAATAGGAATGAGGTAGTGGGTATAATCTAAAATCTGAAAGCTGGAGGATTTGATCATTCAGTGACTCAGTACATGATAGTCACCTTTGTTCTGCAAATCAACTCAGAATCAGTGGTGTTCCTCAGAGTATAGAATATAGAATCTCCAGTGGAAAAGAAAAGGCACAGATTTGGAACATATGTTCAAATTCCAGCTCTACCACTTACTATATCTCTGACTTTAGGCTAATTGCTTAAGTATCAGTGAAACTTAGCTTCCTCATTCATAAATTGGAGACGATAACCTTAACCTCTCCAGTTACTGGAGGACAAAATGAGATAAAGACTGTAGGCCCCTTTTAGGCAGGTGCCATGTGTCAGCCCTCTAACAGCCACTTGTGACCAGTTTAATAACAAAATTTTACAATTCTCTAGTATCTTAGCTCCCTCATATTCTAAAGGAGGTTCTAGTGTTCACATCAGAACTGACACAGGCTGCTAAGTAGCCTTGACTGGACAGGGATGAAA